TCTGTGTACCCCTTTCTATAATTTTCGTAACACTGAGTATCCCACACTTTAAAAAAAAAAATGGCAGATACTTAATAACAAAACAAAATATTATTTTTTTTAAATTTGCAGCGCATACCCCATCATACTCTTTTCGTACCCACAGGGGTACGCGTACCACACTTTGGGAAACACTCCCCATCTCTATATAATGAGAGAGACGGGTTGACTTCGCCCCGCTTGTTAGAAGAGCTGCAGACTGTAAGATTGCTTGTATCCAATAGCAGAGGATGCTTGTCAAGGTTGTAGCACGTTCCAACTGCGCCATTTTAAAATTTAAAAAAAAGAAAGGGACGCAAAATCTACGAGCGGGTCAAATTTATTTTTATTGTATTTTAAAATAGGTTTGAAAGTTTATTACGGTAGTTATCTGCTGAGTCTACTGCACTTGTTTACTATTCGAAAAATCTTAACTTAAAACAATTATCGATAGGGTCGAATTTTTAATGCTTGCCGTGGGCGCCAAAAATCCCGCAGTGCGCCCCTGAATAGCAATATAAAGTAATTGAAAGCGAATGCACGTTTAAGAAAGTAGAAACCAGCAGAGCTTACCGTAACTGCCCCGTCGGTGGCTTGGCAAAGGGAATGCCGTGAAAGAATTTGACATCGTTTTTCAAAACTCCCTTGACCGGTCCGTATTCGGTCTCCACAACAACATTCGACACGCCATTCACCGTTGTTTCCTGTTGGACAGGAGAGCTTCGACCATCTGCTATCCTTGAAATGAATATCAGCACAAACACTGTCGCGCCTTTGCTAAACATTTCTTTCTTGTCCCACCCTCTTTGTCTGGATATTGCGTGTATGATACTTGGTTACAAAACTAACTCCACTGACATGACAGTTTAACAAAAAAAAACGCCTGGCTGGCTGGCTTTATATAACCTGGAGTAAAAACCTAAACACGCATGTTACTAATAATCATCTAGGGGGGGGGGATTAACTTGTAAAAACATTTGGAACCGTCCAAAATTAATTACTTTTACCAAACTTTCGCACCAACAATAGGACCTCCTTACCTATTAACCAGTCCAATGACAAACATCCCGCCCCCACCCCCCCACCCCCAACATGATCAGTGCACTCGACGGCACGCTTGCATTGTGACAGCTGGTGCTCAGAAAACAGTGAGGAGCACATGTGTGAAGAGATCAATAGCCAAATGTCATTGTAAAGGAGCTGAATTTCGAGAGCATCTTCCGCTTGATGTGAATGTACATCAGCAGTTATTGTAACGGTTTCTATTGGGGGGGGGGGTTGCTTATTGAATCCCTGAGTTGACATGATATAATGCCCCAGAGTATTAACTCCCAGAGTTGACATGAGGTAATGCCCCATAGTTTTAACTCTCGTTGGAGATCGATCCACTGTGGTACTTACACCAGTGGTTCCCAGCCTGTGCTCTGTAAGGCCATGACGGCCCTGCTTGCACTTCTTAGGGGCTCCGCGGCCGCTCTAGGAAATCATAACTTCATTAACTTGAAGGACATAGGATAGGACATAGGATAGGCCAAGGGTAGGATATAGGGTAGTCCAAGCATAGAGCATAGGATAGGCCAAGGGTAGGATATAGAGTAGTCCAATGATAGAGCATGGGATAGGCCAAGGGTAGGATATAGGATAGGCCAAAGGTAGGACTTAGGATAGATCAAGTGTAGCACATATGATAGGCCAAAGGTAGTGCATAGGATAGGCCAAGGGTAGGACATAGGATAGGCCAAAGGTAAGACAAAGGATATGCCAAGGGTAGGACATAGATAGGCCAAGGATAGGACATAGATAGGCCAAGGATAGGACATAGGATAGGCCAATGGTAGGACATGTGATAGGCCAAAGGTAGAACATAGATAGGCCAAGGATTGGACATAGGATAGGCCAAGGGGGGATATAAGATAGTCAAGGATAGGCCAAGGGTGGGATATAGGATAAGCCAGGATAGGACACAGGATAGGCCAAGGGGAGGATAGATAGGCTAAGGATAGGACACGGGGTATCCCAAAAGGGTAGGCCAAGGTCCCCCCCCCCCACAGGGTGGGTTAAAGGGTCCCCCATAGAGTAGGCCAGGAGTCTTCCCCCCCCCCCCCCGCCACAGGGTGGGTTAAAGGGTGCCCCCATAGAGTAGGCCAGGAGTCTCCCCCTAGAAATTGATTTCATTAACTTACGCAATTCCCCCCCCCCCTTTTTCATAGTTTGAATTACATACACCTGTACACATATTCTGCTTATTGAGTCATGACGTCAGCCTCTCGCACTAAGACTGACACTGATTGGAAAGCTAATATCTCTATGCAGTGCACATAGACCATACAAACTACAATGAATGCTTAGTGCAGACGAATTGACAGATTAGGGGATCAAAACATATAAAAAATACAACATTTAAACAAAAATAACCAATGAAGTCCTTGCACAGATAACTCAGCAAAAAAAAATTATTTATTTACTAGTAGCAAATACTTGTACATTTTTTTTATAGACATCAAGTCAAATATTTGTCTATATAAATATTAATATGTATAGTGTAAACATAAGGCCGAGAGATGTCAAAAGAGAGATGTGCTATAGATGAAATCATAAGGCATGGATAATGTTAACATTCAATGCAGCTTGGATGCAGGGCTTTGATCCAAGAATCCTCCTGAACAACACAGTCAGGGCTGGTGGGTTGAAGATGTGTTGCAATGTCATAGATGGTGTTGTCGCTCATAGCTTGTACTGTCCTACCTGGTGTTGTCACAGCTTGTATTGTCATAGCTGGTGTTGTGTTATATGAATGTTGTCTACATACCATAATTTTCACATTGATGTTATTTTATATATTGGAGTAGCCGTTTTTACCAGATGATATTTTAAATTAAAAGGGAAAAAAAAAAAATGTGTTTTATGACTTGGGGAAAAAGGGGGCCACTTACAAAGCCCAAACAGCCATGAAAAGAACATTTAGTCCCATTTAACTCAAGCAGACTCACACAAAAGGGTCTCATACAAAACAACGATCAAAGTTATATAAAGTGTATTGCTTGTCTAAAACAACGAGTTGTTTCACTTCAACAAAGTCACGTACAGAGATTATAAACAGATGTTTGTTAACTAGAGGTCCCATAACACTTTGGGTGGTGAAGTAACTCGTAAACTAGGATTAGATGTCCAAAAAAAATATATAAGTACATCAATATGTATTTGAAATGATAAACGTCAGGGGTTGGTCATTGGAGTTCCAGGTCAAAACAACTACTTCTATGAAAACTTGTCAGAGAGGCAATTAGTCTCTAAAACCACTGGGCCTATCAAGCTCATGCACATCTGTTGTCCACTTAAACAAATTTATTATTAGAGGAATTAGTTTTATTTGATGGTTGTCATTTCATTAAGACTTATGTACATAATCCACTGGCCGCTATGCTAATTTCTTTTATGTACTTTAAACAAGCAGATATTTTGTTTTGTTGTATAGAAAATGTTTTACTGCTAGACTAAAAGTGTAAAGATCTATCATACAGCTGTTCTCGGCAAATTTAAGTTTACAAGTTTTACTTTAGTGCACTAATCTGTAATGAAAATGTTTTTGAACAAATATCAGTGGCACATCAACTTTTCTAAAAATATCTGTTCAGTTTGATCAAATGAGATCCTTGAAAGCAAAAAAAAAACAACAACAAAAAAAAAAACAAAAAAACAATGGTCACCTGACTGAACATGGGAGTCAAAAATCCCTCACAAAATGTTTTTGAAAAAATATAAGTGGCACATCAACTTTTCTAAAAATATCTGTTCAGTTTGATCAAATGAGATCCTTGAAAGCAAAAAAAAAACAACAACAAAAAAAAAACAAAAAAACAATGGTCACCTGACTGAACATGGGATGCAAAAATCCCTCACCTGTTCACCTCAGTTTACTTGGAGTTCAAATCTCTATGATGATTTTATTATGAACGAGTTGATACGGTTTTCTCAAATCTCAATGCTACAACATTGGAGGAGCTACAAAAATATAAGTTTAACTTAACTCCTTAAGGCAGTGGTTCTCAACCTGTGGGTCGCGACCACTTTGGGGGTCAAATGACCCTTTTCGAGGGGTTGCCTAAGACCATCGGAAAAAACATATACTCTACAGTTATGAAGTAGCAACAAACATAATTTGCGGTTGGGGGTCGCCACAACCTGAGGAACTGTATTAAAGGTTCGCGGCATTAGGAAGGTTGAGAACAACTGCCTTAAGGTATAGTTTACAGACCAATACTAACATAGCACGCACCACATTTATAAATAGTGTCAGCATACAAGGTGTTCAAATCACTATGATGATAATATATCAATGTGTTCTAAAAATCTTAGATCTACAATGTTTTGAGAAACTAAACAAAATATTAGTTTAGCTTAACAAGTGCGGTTCAACTTGGTGCCTTATGCCTGTGTAAAAAAAGAAAGAAAACAACAGAAGAAAAATAACATAAAGGAAAACAACAAAACTAAGAAGTTGACAACAACAAAAAAAATAAATTATTATCTTACATCAATAATGAGAAGATGCCCCAACATCATTAGACAAATATTTTGAAAAAATAGAATCAGGAAAAAATAATACTTAAGTTTGGCCGCGTGTGAAGATAACGAAAAGATTTTTTTTTGTGCCCATTTTGTTTTGTGGTTATCTTAAATAAATATGTCAAGCTGAAATAACAACTAGAAATGAAGCAAAGATATAAACTGAGAAGTCCTTCTCAACCATCATGAACACAAAGTCAGAATATGTCAAAGATGACATCAAGTGTTTACTAATGTTGAATCCACTCTATAAGAGTTTTTTTCATTTCTTACATATGCCAGGGATTTTACAAAAAGTTGTAAAAAGTTATATTCAATTAACTATTAGTTTATGTATAATTATTGATAAATTGACAAATAAAGGGAAAATTTCACATTTTGAAGAGTCAAAAAAAAAAAAATTACTTTTTGGAATTCTCCGCAAATGTGAAAATAATGAAACAAAGACCTGTATCAGACTTTAAGTTAGATAAATTAAGACTAAATGTCAATAATTACTTGAGTATTAAAAATGCAAACAATGATAATGGTAAAAATTATTTGTAGTGTACATCAAGTAGAGAGAGTTGGATGATAACTCTTCACAATTTGTAAAGAGTGGTAAAAAGATTGCTATGAAAACTTCAGAGCCAACAAGAGCATACATTTTCTACTTCTATGAATCACAAGAAAACAATGTTAAAAATACATGAACATGCAAGGGTAATAGATACATTTGTTAAAGCTTAACTTATTCTGCTAACTGTGTTATATTAACATCATATGAATAGCTCCTTTCAACTCAAAAGGAACAATAATAGAAATATATCATTGAATAAATGTTTCTTATAAATATGTGTTATCAGTATATGCTCAAGGATATATAATTTTTGATAATGCAAAAATTAACGAACCTAACTCACGTACATCGAAAATTGGAACCATTTAACAATTTGTAGTTTAAAAACTAAAAGGACCAGCCAAATCGTGGTAATTTATAAAAGAAATAAAAAAATAGGCACAACAAAATGATGGAAATTGATTAATTTATTTTTAGCTACAGCACCCTTGCTTTAGATCATAGCTGGATTATACTATTGGACCTGTCAGTCTAGTCATTGCATCTTTATGCCCTAAATAAACTACTTATTAATAGCACATCTGTTTCTGACAACTGAAAGATAATTTTATTTGCTAGGCAAACATGTTATAGTGGACTTTAACATATATGTGACCATAGGGCATGATCCAAAAATGTAAGATATTTTTACATTTCTTTAAAAAATATCTTTATGGATCCACTTAAGATTTCTTCTGTTGAAATAAATTGCAAAAATCATGCAGCTAAGTTTAATGACTACTGTGAAATCTCACTGCAAGAAAAAATTATTGTACATATATATACAAATTCACTAGAGATGGTATTAATGTAATTTTACTCTAAATGATAACAGGTCAATTGAAAACAGATTCCTAATGTATAGCACCATGGTAAATGGAAAGAAAATGATGATAATAAATAAAGGGAAAACAATCCAATGTGTACATCTTGTCATTTCTAAATCTTGATATTTTACCAACTTTTTCTTGTCTACTTAAGATTTATTGCAGTCCAATCCTTTTACAACCACCACAAAAAAAAAAACAACAAAGAACCCAGAACAGATGGACAGCTTCTTTGATAGTTTGAGTCATATCATATCAGCAAGTTTTCAAGGAGTAGTTAAACAGATCTTCATATTATGTTATTCTATCTACAAACCCAGAACAGATGGACAACTTCTTTGATAGTTTGAGTCATATCATATCAGCAAGTTTTCAAGGGGTAGTTAAACAGATCTTCATATTATGTTATTCTATCTACAAACCCAGAACAGATGGACAACTTCTTTGATAGTTTGAGTCATATCATATCAGCAAGTTTTCAAGGGGTAGTTAAACAGATCTTCATATTATGTTATTCTAGCTACAAACCAAATAAAAAAAACATTTGTAAAAAGTAAAGGTAATGACTATAATTCATGTTGAAGTATAAAGTTTCTAAACCAGTGCCTGTAAGAATGCCACTAATTTAGACTATGACTTAGAGCAGGGATTCCTAACCTTTTTGTAATGCTGCACCCCCGCCCCCCAACCCTTTCCGCATAAGTTTGAAAACATTTCCAGCACACTCATCTCAATTTTAAAAAATATTCAATAGCTGAACTAACTAGTTTTAATTCATTCACCCAACTCTCTTGCAGTGACTTAATATGAGTGAATACAATGTGTTGAAAACCTCCTTATGTAAGATAGAGGGGTTTTGGGTTTTGATTGCTGGTGTGGAGTCATTACATCTTAACATTTGTGAGCCAGTTAATTTAAGTATTTGAACTTACAGTATATATATATATATTTTGTTTTGTTTACAAAAACCTATAAATATGTCATATATGATTATGAAGCTTTGGAAAGTCAAATTTAACATAATTGTGTCACTTATGACTAATTTATGATAATGATTGTAATTATATGAAGTAAAAAAAAAAAAAATGTTTTAACGCAATTTAATGTATAAATCTTACTCAGATTTTTCTGATAAGGTAAACATTATCCACTCTTGACCACAAATGTATTTATCTAATGAACTTAATAAAAAGAACAAAGCCTGCATTGTTTTACTCATGTTACCCTTTAGCAATGACCTAGTCTCCCTTGCTTTGACTGAAGGTCAGAGAGAACGGTGACTCACCCAAACAAGACTAGAAACAACAAAAAAATGTATCACAAAAGATCACAGGCTAGCACAGCCTGTGTCCTAGAGCACCTTACAGGGTAAAACATCATTATCACATCTGTCATGAGAGAATTATTAAAAGTACCACGAAGTGGTCGGTGTGGCAATGTTGACACACAGAGTTATGTCTTGTACAAAGAACATACACATTACATTCTGACTTTCACCCCATGAAGACATCTGGTGTTGATCAGTTCCAAAACTCCTTAGCTGGACAGCTTCATCTTCTCCAATATGGGGATGACCATGTCAAACTTGGGTCTCTTGCCAGGCTCCTCGTTCATGCAGATCTTGATGAGTCGGGACATGTGGCTAGAGATGCCAGGTGGGATGGAGATGCGCAGGTCTTCTAGTGCCACCTGAGAGACAACAAAAGACATTTATTGAAACGCTTGGTATATCAATGTAGGACTTTGTGAATGCATGTCACTAAAACACAAGTAACAAATACAAATTAGCAGATTTCATTTTGGTGTTTTTCTTTCTTGAATATAATTTTGCTACAATTTGACAACAATATTTGTTTTGTGCATATTATTATTAGCCATCAATAGATTTTAAAATGTCATGAAAAATGTTTTCACCCAAACATATAATTTTCCTAGTTTTTCTTTTCTCATTAATATTTAAAGAATGGGTTCCAGCATTCAGAGAACAAAGCCTACATTGTGTACTGTAATTGTTACATATGGATTGAAAACTAGCACATCTGTCTAAGGCTGTGCCTCATACGAAGACCATCTTTGTTCTGCCCCACCAAGAGTGGGGAGGAAGTGGGGAGGGCAGCGACCACATTCCACACAGCACCCGAGTTGAGAGCTCATTAAAAGGGTTTTACCTTCATGCCAATTTCCATGGCCTCCAGTTCTGCAAATGGGACCTCTCTTGTCTCTAGCTCCCACAGCAGTATGGCAAAGCTCCACATATCTGCAGCTCGCACATTGATATCTTCTGGGGCACGTTGTAGTGCTGAGATCAATAAATATTTATACTTTGTTAAGGTTTTGTAATAATGATATGGGAACACTGTTATGTATTTATAAATTTAGGCAGTAAAAGCATAAGTCACTTACGATAAGATTCTTTATTGATTGAAATAAATGGAAATGTTTTTTTTTAATTAAATTGTGCATATTCTCATTTAGCACATAAATAAAAACATATTTTAATCAAGACAATATTTTACATTTATAACAATTTAAGACACAAGACATCTTAAGTATTTCTCTAGCTTAGAAATCAGCCATCAATGAACTCCTTTAGTGACAATAATGGCTTAGTTAGTGATCATTTAGATTTGGTAGCCACTGGGGGAATCAGGCTAGTAAATTTTTACCAACTCTCTAACAGGCGAGGGAACAAAAGAATTTTGTATATCTTTCATTCCTAACTTAAAAGGGAAAGAATTCCCCCTAAACCAGCTGATCTTTGGTAAATGTGATGATTGGGGTGGGACAAATCATCAACAAAAATTTTGTTTTAAAACAGCATTTTCTTTTCAAATAGTTCTTCACATGAAGTATTAAAAAATAATGGACTTAAATAGCAAAAAAAATATTTTAAAAGAAAATCATTTTTTTTTTTAAAACAGATAAATAATTTTCTTTCATGTAGAAGCACCAGTTCTTAAAATTATTAACTTCTCCTAAATTATTTAAGTTACAATCTTGGCACATAGCATATTTGTAAAAATGGGATTATTAATAAGCATGAGATATTTTTTTATTTTAAAAAAAATTTGGTATCAAAGGATAATCTTTGAGTTAATTAATTTTTTTTAAAATATCAGCACATGTTAAGTACTTAAAATTGAGCAATTTAGGCACGAGAGGTATCGGAATGTATGGAAAACTTTTTTTAACCAATTAGAAAGTTTTTTAATTTACGGTCATAATCATGTCTTTAAACAAAGCTATTTGATACTTTTACTGTGTAATGTGTCTTGACTTAATTTATTTTCTTCTTCTTCTCATGAAAGATATAATAAGACACTAAATAAAATGGGTCAAAAAGTTGTTAATATTTTTGACAACACATTCACTTCATGAATGATCCGTCATGGTCCATATCTTGACAGTATGACCTGCCAAACCTTAAAACATCATACCTTCAGGTGCACACCAGGCTGGAGAAAAAAGCTTTCCCTTCTCATGGAAAGAAAATTTGTAGTCCGCCATGTTGATTTTAGCAGTCAGATCCTCATCAATCTTAAAACAACAGATCTCCAAGTTATTATAAGCCATTGGCCACTCTATAAATTCTATGAAACTGTTATGTTTTTGTTTCTTTTAAATATCCTAATCTATTTGTTCCTTTTAAATAGACTCATTCATATATTTTTTAAACATTTTTTTGTTGAAACAATTTTAAGAAACTAATTTTGAAGGAAGGAAAATAGAAAAATAACATTTAATTTTTAAAAGTTATAAAAAAAATAATTTCTATGTATACAGTAAACTGAAAGTTTTTGTAGCTCCTGAAATAAAACTAAAGAACCGTTTCAAAATGGTTTGTAGGCCCACTTGACCCTGACAGGTTGGTCCCTGACGTTGTTGTGGTATGGCTCTACCTGCCTGAAAAATGTGTTATATATTTCTATCCTGACAAACAAGAATTATTCCACTACAGATACAACATGAGCAATATAGTCGATACAGATGTAGGTGTGCAGGCCTAATGTAATAGATGTAGGGTTAAATTAGTGTACCATTTTGAGCCTGTGAAATATCACCAGATCTTAGCACAACAAAAATATTGATCAAATCATAAAGGAAAAATTCATTCATGCAGTTCACTGCACAGAAATCCTGGAAGTATATTATTGTTTGCCACACCAGGCAACAAAAACAATGTTGTATGTTACAATTAACGGATCATGAATTTACATCACAAAATAATTTAAGTGACACTCCACCATCTCAGGTGAAAAAAAACAAAAAAAACCTATTTAGTAGCCTTAAAGGCAATAGTAGATGCATGCTAGAGTGCATACAATAACTTGAACAAGGATATTATTTACTTTGAACTAAGAGAACCACATAGGAACTTTTTGTTTGAAGTGGTGACTAAAATAATTGAATATTTATAACATGAGAGTGTAATGAATTACTGGGGAAAACCCCTTAAAAAGAAATATGACTTTAAATGATCACCAGAAAATTCTTTAAAAATTTCTAAGCTTAAAGCATCAAAAGGTTGGGTAATTTTCTAAAGTAATAAATGGTGACTACTTTGTTAAGCAAGAAAAATGCCTAATCAACTAATCCTAGTTAACATTTGCAAAATGAGACTAAATGATTTTTATTCAAGATAAATGTCTACATGTAGCAGCAGTAGCTGGTTAGAGGCAATCTCATATTTTCACAAATCATTCTACAAAAAAAGTGTTTTAAAGCAAAAACCCTGCATCATGACAGTTTCTTGAGTGGTGGAGGCAACTTAGCTTGCATCCCTGCCCAACTTCAGCAAACATTTGCATCACTCATATCAAAGGAGAAATTCAATTTTTTTTTTTATGCAGCCGTTCTTGAAACCAAAAACATGCATTTTTAATGTATTGGTGCACAATGACTTCACTGTTACGGTCAACTATTTTCAAAAAACGATTTAAATAAAAATAAGATATTGCAAGCAGCCTTTAAACTCAGTAATAAGAAAGGGGGGATACTCAGGAGGGCTGCCGCTGTCAAAATATTCCTTGCATCCAAACACAACTGATTATGGATCGCAGCATAAATTAAACCTCCTCAGTTAAATAAATTTATGAATTTAGCTATGTTTATTCACAATGAGTTATTGCATGGGGAAAAAAAAAGAGGCCAAATGAAAATGCTAATTATTCATAGTTATTAAAATCTTTTTAAAAAAATAATTTTTACTTTATTGTTCACTAGTAGTAAACTTTGATAGTTTCCTCACAAGGTGGGTCTCTTTTGTTTAGCATTGGATGGAAAAAAAGAAATGTGACCATGAGATTTAACTTTTAGAAGGAAAGAAACCACATTGAAGCTTATTCCATAAATGATAACGCAAGAGGTATGGCAGATTATCAGAATTTTCTTTTTTTAGATTCATTGCACAGGGCTTCCAACATTATGCACCCTGTATGGCATAAAGCATTAGAGTATCAAAGGGGTTAAGTGTCATAATAAAACAGATGATGTAAAAAATATTATTTAAAAAAAAAAAAAAACCCAACCAAAAGTTATTTCTAAAAAGTAGGGAAAAGATTTCGTGTCTTTTGTTATAAGTAGCACTAAAATAATATAAAATAAACTTTTTTTTTTACGGCACAGAGAAATCTACCTACCACTAACTAATGAGAATGTAATACAAGAATAAGGATTAGTAGACAGGACAGACCAGACTACACTGAAAAGTAGCCGACACTAGTTTAGTGGATAATTGGTGTGGTAAGATGCTTTAGTACTCAAAGAACACCCCATCAAGACAGGCAAGTGCAGTCTCTCATTACCCCATTGAGGGTCGCATCCCCTGAAGTGTACTTTGGGTCGTCCACATTTATTTTAGCCAGATCCTCGTCAATCTAAAAAATCCCACTCATTATTTAATTAACAATGAATGAATCCAAGATGAATTTTGGTGATTGTGGTGGTTCAATGAGTGGGGACCAAAATGAACACTGACAAATAAATAAGTCAAAAGATGTCGACAACAAAATACTGACTCATAAAGAGAGTTTGAGAGACAAAAAAAAACTAGACATGATGTAAGGGAACTAAAACTATTCACAAATAATGTATCAAAAACAAACAAAAAAAACATTTAAAACTCAACAATTTGCTGTGTTACATTTGCTTATATTATGTTTCAATAAATCTAACAATGGCAGAGAAAAATATTTTTGAATTAATATTGTTCTGCGAGTTGTTTTTTTAAATATGAATTACAAAGCAAATTAAATTATTAATCCAAATAAATGCATTTTCTTTTTTAATTTCTATATAAGTTTGTTTTTCATAAATGTAGGGTAGTTTAATCTTAGTATCAGAGTCACATTTCTTGGAATTTTTTTACACCAAAATTTTAAAAAATCAAGATAAATTTCCCGTACTTTATATAGACATGAGATTGGTATGACACAATCTAAAACAAATATGACAAGCACTGAAAATATTATATATTCAAATTATAAGAAGAAAAAAAAAGCACTGGGTTTGCTAGTATATATATTGGTAGACGTAAAACAGTAAATAATATTTTAAAAAATCACACATCTAAAATGTAATCTGTTTAAATTATTTATATTTTTAATTTATATTTGTTTAGTCCTTCAAAACAATAAATTTGAATGAAGTACAAGAAATGAAACATTTCAATTAAATAAACAGAACAAGTATGTTAATGATAAGACCAGGAGAACTTACCATAACATGTTTGCTGGTTAGAACAAAATTTGGGATTATTGGCTCCATAGAATGCAAAAATTCCATGCCGCGGGCAATATCAATAGCAAACCGTAGAGCCTGATTCTGGTCCACAACAATACCTTATAAAGAATAATATTAATTCCTATTAATACACTTCCCAAATAGATGGAATAATATGCTATATCATTTTAAAATAATTCAAAATTATAAATCAGTAGTGTAAAAAAATTATTGTTGTGATCTATTAATAGAAGTACTAAAAATGTAACACACTTCTAAACTTTTAGTCATTTAAAATTTCAATCATTGCAAAGAAATTTTTAATGTAATTTTGAATTTAACACCCTTGTGAATTCTCTTTTAAACAAGCTTTATTTTGTTTTATTTTTTATAATTTTAATTCATCAAAATACCTGACTCTCCATGAAGAGTGTTGTAAAGAGATCCAAAAGGCATGAATTGACTAATAACCACTAAATCAGGTGGATCTTTAGGTGCGCAGCAACCCAACACAGCAAGGACATTGGGATGATTAAATATTCTGGAAAAAATTATAAGAGTTAGTAACTTTAAAAAACTTGCAGTTAAGTTTTAATGCTTTTTGTGTTTTTGTTTTATTTTGGTGGGGGTGTGTTTTGGGTACCATCATAATCCTTGTGAGAATTTTTAAAAATTTAAAAGTAATAAAGTTATTATGTGAATTATGGACTGGCCTTTTCTATGAGCTGATATAATTTTCTCAATAGCACACATAAATTATTAACTATTTGATGTTGCTGTTATGTTATGATTTTTAAAGAGTGTGAATGTAAACTTTATTGTTAAGTTGAGTTCATGGCAATAGCTGCAATAAAATTAATGCTAACTAATTTAATCATTGACTAATGCTCTCACCAACCTTAGTTTAGGAAATTCTTCTTTAAAATCCCTGATGTTTCTGTCAGACACTGTTTTCATGCTAAGAATTTTAGCTACAATATCATTGCCTTGCCAAGAGCCTCTCCATGTCTGTAGTGGAAACAGTATATACATTTAAAATAAAATTTATGCTTCATTTGTTTTAGGTACGAAAATTAATAAATAAATACATATTTCAAGCTTTTGAAATAACATAATAATAATTTAAATAATAACATAAAAAAGTAACAGGGAATTATAAGGGCTACTGTACTATTGAGACATGTTAGGAGATTCACTAGTTAGAGATTAATCTTACTTCTCCTGAATGTGTCTTGGCAATATGACCAACCAGCTGCAACTCTTTAATGTCAATGCCAGTGTGTCTAGACAAGATTGCATCTCCTTGTTTGGGGAATATCATAGAAAAAATAAGTTAACCCACACTTTCATAGTCTAGAACATTCTTGTATAAGTTATGTCTATTTCTCAAATAAAATTAATGAGTTCAAATTTCATTTTAATTCCTATTAGACATACTCCCAAATTTTCAACAGCTTTCCCAAAATTTTGTACAAGCAAATAAATATAATTGAATTATAAGGACACATTCCCATAACTTTTTTCTCTTCAAACAGATCCTTGATTAAGAACAAAATCAAATAAGAAAACAAAATCAGTCAAAAAATGTGTAAGAAATAAATATTTACTGCTTCTTGTTTTGTATCCCAGCCAACTCCTGTCTTTAAATGGAATTTTGCTCAAGTCCTGACCAAGCTGACCAGCTCTGTCTGAAAAAGTTTTTATTTACATTAATTTTTTTTAAATTTCCAGCACAAAACAATAAATCAATTTTCAGACAACTATACAATGGAATCAAAATTATTTGTTTAGCCGAGTAAAAACTAATTTACACACAAGTAATTTAATTCATTAATTCGTAACTCACTCACATACAAATAATGTAATTTGTACCTCGCTCGCATATAATAATGGATTAGTCATTTTCTTTTATGCTTACCTAACAATAAGCAGAAATGTCTATTATCAATATGGGATCTATTTAGATGACAGTATTATTTGTCCTAATGAGAAAAAGTTAATAAAATTATACAAAATAATAGCAACCTTTCAAAATTTTAGCCAGATATGGCTTGCATTTGTCCAAAGGTACGTCATCAAATTTGTTGGCTATACTGACCAAGGCACCATAGTTCACCAAATCCTAAAGAAAAAGTTGCACAGGTGTATGAACAAGATGATGATATTATTATTACTAATGTTATTAGTAATCAATGCCTTTTGTTTGTCCACAGAAGTTAAATCATTATAATCCTTAATACATTTTCTATTAAAATAAATTAAAAAATATCAAGGGAGACTACAAGACCTACTCACAAATATCTCAATAACATATTTACCTCAGCAATCTGTTCAAACCCCCAAAAGCATGCATAGTGAAGTGGTGTGTTACCATGCTCATTAATAGCATTTACATTAGCCTTGTTTTGAAGCAACTGAAACACAACAATGTATCATTAATTTCTTTAAGTATGTAGTGTAAGTTACATTTCATTTTAACATGATATTTTTCCTACTGTATGCATTCATGAAAGAGGTACGGATAACTTTGTTCAATGATTACTTTGAATTAATTTCACCATTTTCAACCAGCTATTCATGATAAAAATTAAATCATTTTTCACAAATTAAAAATAAATTGACATTAATATAAATGATAATTGGTACTTTGCTTACAAAATTAACTTCAGAACTGATATGCAATAAAGTAAAGGTGATGAGAATTCTGGTGTCACTCACCATAAGAACAACTTCACGGTGGCCATGTGCTGCTGCTAGATGAATAGGTGTGTCGTCACCCATGTTGGTAGCATTGATCCTCGCTCCACGTTTAATCAACATCTCAACCACATTGTCTCTACCTTCCCTTGCAGCCCAGTGGAGTAAACTAAACCTGTGATCATCTCTGTGTTGGATGAAATCGTAAATACAAAAAAATATATTAATAAATTTAAAAACTGTCTTCTCCGAACAGACATTTATTATATTGTACTTTCATTTAATTATATTGTTTTTATTTTTTTTAAATAATTTTTTTTTTAAACGTATTTTCTTTGTAATTAAGTACCAGCCATTTTATTTCCACATTTCTTTTTCTATTTGAGGTCTTAAAACTGTTTAATTTCTTCTGATAATAATACTTGTAATGAAAGTCTCTGCTAGATTTATTTTAAGCAACAACAAAACACTTTAATGACATCATTAACAATTAATTCAAATCTTTATATAGGTTGAATTACGAGTTATCCATTTTTATAACATTTATATGATTGAAGAACTCATGCATGAGATTTTTTTCAAGCAGACTCACAAATGAGGTTGCAGTGAGTGAATTTCCCAGGACAAAGCTTTAATTATATTTAATGACAATGCACACTTTTAATACTAAAAACTTACCCCTTATTCAGATCATTCTCTGTATTATCAAGCCAGACTCGTACATTAAATGCATTTCCTTCCCTCACTTGAGTAAAGATATCATCCATTATAGAGTTCTTTTAAAGGGCTACGTGCTCTGTGTAACAGATCAAAATATTCTTGTATTGAAATTTGTGTATGTAGTTCAGGGAGAATTGGAGTCTTTTTCTAAACAATTGTAATTAATGGATATCAAATTTTTATTGCAACTAAATCTTGTTAAAGTTAATTATGTAAATAGCACTTTAATTTACTAATAAACAAATGTAATGATTTTAATTATTAATATGTAATTATTTTAATTAATGTGGTTACAATGAAACCTGTGACTGTGAATAGCACAAACCATTGGACCCAAGCAAAATCAATGCTATTACTATTACAGTGAAGCTTGTGAGTAGTGAACCTTGAAACAGTGCTGTCTCTAGACTAAATGCACTAACTCAGTCCCCCCAATGGATTGATTTCTTCAACAACAAAAAATTGAAATAGCCCATATCCTAATTTTGTTAAATGCAAAATGTTCAAGGGTTCTGTGGGACATAATCATGTTTTCCCCTGCAAACAGCACATGCCATGCAGTGCAGGCACCAAATCACATCAGAACAGTACAGTAGTACAGGGTGAGATTGCAGACATTTTGCTTCCCTAACCAGTCTGACACTATGTTGTGTGTTTTAGAAAATCACAATAAGCCAGTATTTGTGTTAATGTTAATGAAAAAAAATTCAATCACTGAGACTGTCCTGAGTGCTCTAGGTATCTTGTGTAAATTTTTCAACACATAACGGTAGTAACAAGCAAGATGATCGAAATGGAGACAATGCACTTTACCTTACTACATATTTTTTGTTTGGATGTTGATTCAAAATTCAGATTTGTCTTAGAAATTATAAATAACACATAAAAATGACATAATTTAAATGATGATTAATTACTCTTAATATTAATATAAATAATAAATAAGTAAATAAGTGCTTTGCCAAGCATATAGGAAATAGACGTACAAATTGGTTATTCCGGCCTTGAAGAAAGCAAATAACTTTAATCAACATTGATATAGCTTACTAGACTACTACATACATATTGACTCAATCAGAATATGTGTCGGATTCATTAAAAACTTCAGTGAGTAGCCAGTATGCCAAGTGAAGTGACTAAGACTAAGACTACGACTTTGTTGTAAAAGTTCAGGCCAAGTTAAGTAGTCTAGAAGAATGTGTAGACTTCAATATACCTGTTTATATATTTTCGTAGTTGTTCAGTTATATGTATTGATAGTATGTAAATTAATGTCAAAGGTATTTGCTTACATAAAATTACTTGTTTTAGATTAATTAAATAAGTGAACTTACTAAATATTTTAGCTCCCAATCATCAACAAATGAATAAGGGCATATTGGCCAGATTTTTAGAGCTACTATACGCAAAAAAGGCTACTTAAAAATTTTTATATGTTAAATATGATTATTAACAATACATAAAATGTAATTTATTAAATTTAAATTGTATGCATGTTATAAAATATCAATGAAGAATTGTCTGGCAGATTAACAGCATGTTACTTGATCTTCTTTACATTGTTTTCATATTATCAAATCGGCATGTTGTTTGTGGGTTAGGCTGGCCCAAAAAGGTAATAATATACCCAGTGCTTCCGTGTAACTCTTCAGAGAAATAAAAATTATTTTTTAAATTATTATTTTTGAAGTTCGGTTATATGCACGCAACTTGCATGCATTTGAAATTTAAAATTCTATAGGCTTTAACGGTTTTCTTAATTTGAAAAATCAATAACGTCAGTTAAATGAAGCATATCATTTTAACTTCCAAACAGAACGATTTTGTTTAAATGTGTGTCTTTCTAAAAATATTTTTTTATAAGTTTAAACCATTTACTTTTTACATCATCGAAAAAAATAATTTTTATTGATGTTAAATACTTCTATGTTTTAACGCTTAACTGTCACAAAAGAGAGTGAATATTAAATAAGTCTGCAGACATCACAATAATTCTTAAGTTAAAAATAAGAATAGTCTAGCTGGGGCTGAAATTTTGGGGCCTTGAATAATTTATTTATTCATTTTACCCATGAGCAGTGGTGTATTATAATATAATGTAAATGGAAACGTAGGCTCCATCACGCAGCCAGACTTATATCAAATATTAAATACATGTATTCAGTGTCCTGCTTTTTCTAATTAGTAATGTTATAGTCTATGTGTTACCCTAATTTGTATTCAAGTCTCAAGGTAGTTTTTTTGCGACCACCACTTGTCAAACATTTTTTTAAAAATATTGACGTCACCAATTAAATGTGTAGCGCTGTACCCACCCCACCTCTCCTTTGGTTGGGAATAGGATCTTTACGTTCTCTTTTGTTCTAAAATGCTATCGGGGGGGGGGGGGGAGGGATAAAAGTGTTGGACTGCGATAAAACATTCGAGTAGGCCTACATTAACGAGACACTGCAAAAAAAAACCATATAAGGGGGCGTCCATTAATTCCGTCAACAATTAGTGTTTTTTTGTTTTAAAAGGGTATGGGGGGGGGGGGAGAGGGATAAAAGTGTTGGACTGCGATAAAACATTCGAGTAGGCCTACATTAACGAGACACTGCAAAAAAAAATCATATAAGGGGGCGTCCATTAATTGCGTCAACAATTTTGACCCCCCCCCCCTTTTTGTCAACAACTGTCAAACTTTCAATGCCCCCCCCCCCTAAGTAATTACGTTAACATTTTTATTTTTAACTCCCCCCGCCCCCAATTTTTTTTATGAATTATAATATAAATAGAATAAGTATATAAATACAATTTACTTTGTGCTGATCTATTTTAATAACACAAAATAGTAGGGCAAACATTTTATTGCATGTTTAGCTTGTTAATCAATAAGTTAAAGAGTTTGTACACTTAAATTTTGTAATGCTGAATCAATAAAAATGTTGTTAAAGACTAAATATCATTGTTTGTGAAAGTATAAATATGTTTATTGTCAGTATAGCTGACAATTGTAGCATAGTTTCTAGCTGCTATGATCTTCCCAGGAAGTAGTCAGGTGTTGCTCTATCGTAGCAATGGGCACAGTAGCTGATTTATCATTTTCATCTTGCGGAACTGATTAACCAGACAAATCGACATCATTCTTATCTTATAACCATTCAGCACTTAAAATAGAAGCATTGTTAGTGTGAGCAATAATTGCCATAAGCTTTCTATGTCTCCTGGCTGAATCCTTTTTTTTTTTAGGAGCAGGTGGTAATTTCTTATGCATTGTCGGTGCTGTTGAACATGCTTTTTAACATGACTTGTGATGCAAAATAGATGTTACAGATTTTGAAAATCTGTTCAAGTAGCGATGTTATTATTGTTACTTTACTTTCTCCTAATTCTCAAAATATCGTACTCCATCTTTCTATCAATATCATTTAGCTTGACTGCAAATGACACGTAATCCTTGTCCTTGTTCCATACCTGCAGCACGATCGCAAACGTCCCGCCTTAGTTATTTGCGACAAACAGAATGTACAGAAGAGAGGCCAACTTTTGACTTCTCTTGCATTAACAATGTGTGTTAACATTCTGACCAGCCATCTGCAGTGCACAGACAGACACACATTAAATAAATCTTAGGCCTATATTCCTAAAAGCCTAAAAATTATATAAATATTTTAATTTACACGCTCATTTGATCTGTTAAAATAATGTAATAGCCAGTCAATATTTAAGTTTAAAATTCTGATAGAGAAAACATGATTGTTGACGTCAACTAATCTACCCCCCCTCCCCCTTGTCAACAATCGTCAAACATTTCCACCCTCCCCCCCCCCAACTGTTTTGTTGACATAATTAATGGATTAATTAATTAAGTATAAAATAAATCTAATTTGTGCTTATATAATTGTTCTTTTCGTTTGCACCAATGAAGGTATTTTCTGACACGTTTACATTTGTATTCTTTATTTATTCTTTATTATCATTATTAAAGCTGAACCTATTCTGTTATATTGACACAAATTGATTGTGTCTCATTCATATATCGGGTGATGGTGCAATTTCTAGAATTTCTTTTCTGGAGAGTTTCAACTTGAATAACTGAGAGTGACGTTCATAGAATGAATGCGATTGACTCCCTTGGGCCTATACATGAAACGGCAGCTTTACTAGGTTAAAGATATATATATATATATATATTTTTTAAACGGCATTTACGAGAATGTATTCTTTGTGTGTGTATATTTGTGTGTGTAAATTTGTTCGTGTATATTTGTGTGTGTAAATTTGTGCGTGGATATATTCATATTTTTTTTACCTTTCGAGGATTATACCTTTTCACTTGCTGGACTGTAAGTTAATGTAGTTTTCAATTTCTTTCTCTATGATTTTTATGTTAAATATAAATTTAATAGTACAATGAAATTGAATAATGTTAGGATCACTAGCTTTGGTGACGTTTCTCTTTTGTACAATGCGTTTAACTCCTTTTGTATGCATGGTTAATTGACAGGTTAAATTTACCACACAAAAAAAAAAACAAATACGGTACGTAACAGAATTTTTTTTTTAAATTTTAAAAAATGAATTGCAGCTTTCAATGGTAAGACTGAACTGAATGAATTAATTATCTTTATATTTTTTTTTATTTTAAATATTAATTAAAATATTTTAAAAGCTGAAACAAATTATTTTCAACTACACGTTCGACCCCACTTCACTATTTCTTCTAAATATTCTTGGTGAGCAATTGAAATATGATTTTTATTATAATTTTATGGTATGGCGAAATTTATTGACAAAATCTAGTGATTCTTTTTAAAATTCTGAATGGCAGCAAAGGCCACTTATAAGTAAACGCAATATGAAATTTTGAAAAATCCGTAAATATAAGCCATTTTTAAAAAAATTTTTGAAAAATAAAAAAATATTTTACCATCCTGGGAACATGTTTAAAAAACAACTTATTATTAATACAACTTAATGTGTAAAATATGTTTAAAACATTTTAAAATGATAGGTAAAGTAAAATTCGTTTGAGAGCTTAATTATTCAACAAATGTGACCTCAATTTACGGTAGGCCTACTCAGTACTGTTAAACCACCAAATGGCTTACATGCTTGTAAAGGTCACGAAAACATTTACTTTCTACTATTATGGCCTAATTTCGTCGCCTCATCACTATCATTATTACTATTATAAACAAACAACACCAATATTCTCGGCCTGCACAAAAAAGCCACAAGATATGATGACTGAGTACTTTTATAGCGCTTGTGTCCATGCTACTTTAGCATGCTCACAGCGCTCTGGTATCCTAAAATCTATTTAACGAAAAAAGTCTTTAAATGGTTCGTAAATGACTTTGTATCATTTTCAATGTTGAAAGATTGAAATTGACTGTTCCACAATTTAGGCTCAACAGCGTCAAGAGCGCACACCGTATGACTTCTTTCTGTGTCTATCCACACTGGGAAATCCCAGTAAGGACTGTGTTGAAGAGCGCAGGTTCTGTATGGATACATTTTTAGAAATCAGTTTAAAAAAAAAAAAAAAAAAAAAAAAATGTGTATGGATACATTTTTAAAAAACATTTTAAAAAAAAAAAAAAGATATGCAGGTGCAGAGCCTTCTATACGCCAGCGACAGAAGGTAGCGAATCAAAACATTACACTATCCTACAACGCAACATATACGCCAAGAAGAGGACAACCCAACACATCTTGGCGTTCAGTATAGACAACTCAATTTCAAAAAGCTTGTTCACAAGTTGAAAGAAAAGTCAACAAGACGGCTAAACTGTGCTAAACTGTGCTAAACTGTGCTAAACTGTGTTAAAAGTCTGATATTAAGGGGAAGAGACTGCAATCAGCTTAGCAAAAATGGAAATGAGTAAAACAAAGTATATGGGAAAACCAAGAAAATTTTTATTTTTTTTTACAAATGGAATTCAACAAAACAACAAACATTTCGGCAGGAATATTTCGTCAGCCAACAAACAACATTAAAAACAGAATGAAATTATAAAAATAGCACTTAGCTGAAAAGTAGGATCCGAGAGGACATCATGAGTATTTCAGCTATCATTTGCAGCCATTTCTGGCTGTTGCAGAAGAAGAAGCACATATTATGTCACATCTAGAGAAGGGTAACTGAACCGAACACGCCGAACTCGAACCCTGCTGACACTCAAACTGAACAGAACCCTGCTGACGACCGAACTTAAACGTCACTGACTACTAACAAACCCGCACATTCTACCGCAAACTGTTTCCACGAATGTGGCACATCGCATACTTGGCATGAATGCGTAGAACTTATAGAAAATCCAATTGTAAAACGTTATTCAAACTAAAACGATATTTTAAAAAAAAAAATCACACCCATACACAGCTCTCCCCTCCCCGGCACCACCCTTTCACCCGCAAGGCTGATATTGCATTAATGTGGGTCCAACGAAACTACAACACTATTTG